GATCTTGAAGCTTTGTTTTGGTTCTTGTCGGTTCTGCCAACAAGGAACATCTGTATTTATTTTCCGACCTCCCCCCGTGGCTGATTTGCATCTGTTTAGTTCTCTGGGTAACATTTCATTTCCTGACTTTATAGGTTGCTATAAAATCCATTCGTAAGGACAAAATTAAGGATGAACAGGACATGGTTCACATCAGACGAGAGATTGAGATCATGTCATCCCTCAGCCATCCTCATATCATCAGTATTTATGAAGGTCAGTGATTCTTCTTCTCCTTCCCCCACCACCCCCACCCCTATCTGTTACCATTTCTCATACCATACAGCTTGCCAAGACTTTTAGGTAATTGCCCTTCTGGACAGGAGCCAAGAATTTTTCCCCATGATGCAAAAATAGTCGGGCATTATCTCTTATTTGGTTACCTTGAAATGCAACCAGATGCACGTCGTGAGACTCACTTTGGTGGTAAACTAGCTCCGATGGTGCCTTGTTCTGTCTTACCAGACCCCGGGTGGTTGCTAGGCAACCCACCTTCTTCGAAGCTGGCAAGTGACACCCAGCTACCAGTCCTAAAAAGCGGTGGTTTGCTGGGGGGAACAAGTAGCAGTGGCTACAAGAGCCCCTGGATGTGCAGTTTGAGGTGGGGGAATGCGCCCTGAGACTCCAGTGAGCGATTAATCCTGAGCAGGTCCAGCGAGCACTTAGAAAGAGAGCCTTGATATAGATCCCAAGATGCATGTAGTGTTCGCGGAAAGGTATTCAAATCCACTGTCATTGGGTTGATTCTGACTCTGAGAGACCCTGTAGAGACCCTAAAGGTCAGGGTGTAACTGTCCCTTTGGGTCTCCAACACTAATCTCTATGGGAGCAAGCAGCCTCATTTTTCTCCCCAGAAGCTTCTGCTGGGTTGGCCCAGGGCTCCTCTGTGGCAGGGTGGGGTGGGGAAAGGCTTATGTACTACTTATACCTTGATGCTTCAGAGAGAGAGAGACAGACACACAGAGAGACAGAGACACCAGACATGCTGCACCTGATCATCACAGCACAGCACGACAAACTGACAGACTAGGGATGTTTTTCCTTTAATTACCTGTTTTTAAAAAAAAAAATTAATAAACATACAAGGGAGCTTTAAAACGACATTCGTGGGGGAAAATATTCTACCTGTTTCTTTCTAATTTTCCATGGACTCTTTGAAGCCCCCTCACATGTGAGTCTTACAGAGATGATTGACATGCACACGTCAATGTTGAAGACGAGATTCCGGGCCACCTTCTCTGGGTCTCCCTCTGTGCTTTGGTCCAATGTCAGACCACAGCGTTTACACTGTTCTTTCACCTTTTTAAGGACGTTCCCCTCGCCACATTTATTGTAGCATGCATCTCTTCCTATGTTAATAACTATCCCCCCATAAAGACATTTTAAGACTTTAGACTCTTCTGTTGATGGACATCCTGTGGTGGATGGGATCGAAGCCCCCTGGAACAAATCCCCCTGGCCAGGCATTTAAGTTGTTTCAAATTCCCAGGTCTTATAAACAGGGCTGTTGTGGATTTGCTGAGTCAAAGCGTCTCTGCCCAAGTTTAAAAAAAATTCCGGTTGAGTCAGAAAAATGAACTGTCTCTTTAATTTCTTATCTGATTGAGACGAGATTGATCAGGTAAGGCTAAGAGGAAACCCCATGGTGACCTGAACTATTTTCTGATATTTAAAAATGTCCTTCATTCACTTTTTTTTTTTTTTAAACCAATATTCTTCCCCGGTCATCCTCACCCCGCAACCCTCCTGAGCCCACTACTTCTATTTTACCTTCTTTTCTAGAAGCAAATGTTGGTCATATCTCTTACCTTTGGATTTCTTGAATCCACCTGGTCTCTTTATTTGGCTAAACCGGTGACAGGCATCCCTAACCTATCTGCGGCGTCACCTGGAGCTTTCCAGGGTTGATTTTGGGAACTCTTTGATTTGCAAGGGAAAGTTGCTCCTGCCACTGACATTTCCTGATTTTCCAAGGGAATCCCCAATCCCCCAGCCAGATTCATTCCAAACCAGCATCCCTTGGGACGATTAGAACCTCGTTCTCCAGCACCCGCGGTTCATGTGCCGACCTACTTGAGAACCGCAAGCCCATGTTCTCGCACAGCGCGGCGCTCGATACGTTAGAAATACAGACGTGAATGTGATGGGGATCCCCTATACCAAGGAGCAAGACAAGGAAGGATGGAGATCATCCCACGGAGATGCCTAAGCCTGTTCTAGAGCCACCTGGTTAGTGCAAGCAGTTAATGTGTTTGCTGTTTCCCTGAAAATTCAAGGCCACTCAGAGGCACCACAGAAGAAAATTCTGGTAATCAGCTTCCAAAAAGTCAGCCTCTGGAACACCCCCACCCCCAGCACCGTCCTTCTCCTCTGACAAACTCATGGGGTCTCCATGAGTTAGCGATGACTAGATGACAGTTGCTCCCCCCACGACCCCCCTCCCCCTCAAAAAAAGAAATCACCAGTAGTTCCTAAAATGGGTTAAGGAGATATGTGGGTGAACTACAGGTCTCTGGAACCCCCCCTGAGACATTGTCTCATACAGGAGCCATGGGCGGCTGTCTGCATTTAAATTAAAGCAGGTCTTTTGAAACGTAACTTGGTGTCTCCCTGTGCACTAGCCACCTTGCAAAAGCCCCGTAGCCATGGGTAGCTGGTGGCGCCCATGATGCCATCGAAGAGCCCTCCGCCCTGGCTGGAGAACGTTCTGCGGACGCTGCGGTGTGTCGTGTGCGCCGCGTCCAGGCGTCCGTATCTCATAGAGCAGAAGGGGCTTTGCTTTCATCAGACCCACAAAGGGATCCCTGACCTCAGTAGGTTAAGAATTCCACTGCTAATTGAGGCTTGCTTTTGTCCTGCACCAAACTGTGCCAATGAAAGGTATTGCTTTCATCTGGAAAAGTCCCCAGTGGACTTAGATGCGGCCTTTTCCCTCTGCATTTCGCAGCGTTCTCCAGGTTTGGCCTTGTTTCCTTTCCTCTTCCCATGTACGTTCTCTTTCTCCCACATCCACCGAAGAGCAGTGGAGGAGGGCCGCTCCCTCCCTCCCGAGGGGCTCGGAAAAGGAGAGCGCCAAGGCTCTGCCAGCTCCTACAGCCCTCATGGGGACCTACAAGCCCCAGCCCCATGGCTTCATCTGCCTCGCTGCCACAGGCCCCCATGGCTGGCTCCCATGTCCGCTGTCACAACTGTTGGTCACTTCCAAGCTCTCTCACACCTTGCCTTATCGAATCCCCTGCAGTTGGCCTCCAGCCGTGCCTGGCCAGGGGTGTCTAGTTTGCAGATGTGGCAACTGAGGCTCTGGAAACCTCATCACTTGCAGTCAGTCGATTGGCCGGCAGCCGGGCTATCCTGACACCTCTTTGCTTCTTCCCAGGCTGGGCCGCAGCCCCTGTCTCTGGTGCGGCTGATGCCCGCAGCCCCGCTCTCTGCTCCTTGGCAGCCCCCTCCATCTGAGGTTTTGAGGCCTGATGTGGCTGTTTCTGGGGCACGGCGGCAGCACCTGGTGGCCACAATGGTGGCAGTGCCCAGGTGAGCCTGCTGGCTCACCTGCTGGTTCTGTGCCACTCTGAGGAAAAGGAAGCCTTCTTGTGGGAAACCGACCCAGCGCTTGATCGGCCGACTGAGAAGGGAGCTGAGTCCCGAGGGGCGCTTGTTTCCTTCCTGTGAAATCAGCGTCTAGGCGCTGACGTGGCTGTCTGGATGAGGTGGAAGGGAGATGAGATAGATGCTTTCAAAGAGCTTCCATGTTCTTCTCCAGCAAAGGCCTTCACGAGACGCTCCCCAAGCCCGTGGTCATCGAGTTGATCCTGACTCAGAGGGCCCTCCTGAGGACGGAGCAGAAATGCTGCCCAGGGTATCCAGAACTCTCCATCTTTAAGAAAGCAGCAGCCTGTAAGACTGCCCCTACCTCATGCTCCTGAGGAGCCGGCCTTTCAGTTAGCAGCCGTGAGCGCTGTGCCCCTGCGCCACCAGGGTTCCCTAAAGAACATGCGGCCAATGCCAGCTCGGCTTGCCATGCCACTTAGCTACCCAGCTCCTAGGCCTTTATGCACATGAGCCCAACATTTATGCCCACACGTAAATCAACACAGGTACATGCTGGGCATACAGTAGCTTCATTATTAACCGCCCCAAATCAGGAGCAGCGACGGTGTCCTTTGATAGGTGACTGGGTAAACACGCTGTGGCCCAGACACAGGCTGGAGCACCATTCAGTTACCGGGAGAAAGAAGCAAGGCTTCCTGTGGGTTGTGGAATGCTTGTGCATCCCACTGTGGTGGCTGGTCCGCGGCTTCCTGCTCTGCCCAATCCCATGGGACTGTTCTGCCAGAGCCCCGAGGGGAGGGCCACCGTGCCATGTGCTGCTGTGGAGTTGGGTCTGACTCGGGGCAGCCCCAGACCCATCCGAGTGAAACTCTGCTCCATGGGGTTTTCAATGGCTGATGCTTTAGGAAGGAGAGCTGCCAGGTCTTTCTTTCGAGGTACCTTGGGGTGAACTCCAGTCTTTCCAAAGCTGGCAGCTGACAGCATTAACCACATGTACAATGAGCTTCAGTTAATGACAGTGGATTAGTTCACCGATGGCAGCAGATGTGCCCCCTGAATGTGCTGTGTTAATAACAGGACAAACTGCATTCCATGGAGAGGGGTCGTGGGCATTCTCTACTTCCTGTGTAATTTGCCTATCAGCCAAAGCGTGCTCTGAGAAAGAAAATCTGTTTAGACCCACAGACCCCAATAGCGGTGAGGACAAGAACAGCAGCCTCACGACAAAGCAGTGATGTGCCCGGGGATGTGTGTTTAGAAACTGTGGGCTTTATGCAGGCAGGGCACCACCTCGGACTATACTATCCCATGGTCAAAACCCCAAACTCATTGCTGTCAAGTTAATAGCCACTCACGGTGACCCTCTAGGACAGAGGAGAACTGTCCCCCCGGGTCTAGAGACTACATCTTCATAGAAGCACACTGTCTCATGCTCCTTCCGAGGGGCTGCTGGGTCCCCACTGCCAACTCTGTGGTTAGTCATCCCATGCTTAACAAATGGTGCCAAGTTCCAGAGAATCCATTCATAAGAAGAAGAAACAACAACAAAAACTCCCCAAACGCTACCTAGCTGCTGGTTCTCTGCACACAGTGGCGAATCAAGCAAGCTTCCAGCTCTCTGGAGCTGACTTGCGGGGAGAGGTGGCAGACAGTGAACAAGTAAACAG